TACTACTGAACTGGCCCAGTGAGACACACACACACACACACACACACACACACACACACACACACACACACACACACACACACACACGCACACACGGACACATGCATGTCCTTGCATCCTGAACATAATATTATGGTAATAAAACAAAATAAAAAACAAAATAGATTCCCTCACTTACATAATGGTTGTTGAGGATCCTGGGCGAGGGGATATCGTCTATGCTTCCATTACCCTCCAGTTCGGACATTTCCATCATGGCGTTCTCCTTGTTGACCTTATCCGTTGTCGTACGTCCGCTGACGAGCAGTCTCGTGACCTCCCACAGCCAATGGCAGCCCGACTTGGGGTAGGAGACAAGAATGACGTCATCATCTCGGAGTTGGCAGTCCTGAGAAGGTATAAACAATCATTAATTGTCGATGTTTAACTTTAATTCTCCATTGATGTCTGTAGTCTAGTGGTTAGGCTGATGGGCTCTCAACCGAAATGTTGTGGGTTCAACCCCCGTCAGAGTCTCGACGTTGTTGGAAAGGTATCTTATACGAATTTTCCTCACTTCATCCGGTTGGGAATGGGTTCTCGGCTTTAGACAGCGAAAGATCTTGTCAATTCGACATATTATGTATGTATGTATATATGTATGTTTGCCATTGTAAACCAAATAGCCCTTCTGGGATCAAGAAAAGTGTAATTTATTCATTTATTATGTATTGAACTCTTTACTGGCCGCTTGCCGAGAATGTTTCTGTGTTGTCTTCTAGAGACTGCTGAGGTAATAATACAATATGTAGTTGGAAAGCGTATGGAGCATGCTGTAGATCATGGATATGAGCTATATAAATGCAACAACAACAATAACAACAATATTAATAATAATGACAATAATAATGATAATGATAATAATCATAATAACAAGAATAATAATAATAATAATAATAAAATAATAATAACGTCTTAAAAAGATTAAATAATGATAAAAGTGATGATGTTAACAATTACTATCATTGTCATAATCACCATATCATCATCATCATCATCATCATCATCATCATCATCATCATCATCATCATCATCACCATCATTTTGGACGAGTGGAGGCGCCGCTAAGCATATTGACAATGGAGCCGAAAAAGAGCCTCGCTCTCGCTCGAAGATTTCTTCGTGGAGTCTGTCAGGCCCATTAAGGAAACAAAACAAAAAAATCACCATCATCATATCTACTTGCGTTTACTTATATTTTCTGATCTCTATTATTTTACAGTGTCGGAGGAAGGGAGAAGAAAAGATCTTTCTCTAGTTTGTTGTATCACCTGTTGTAGGATTATGCTCTTCTCGTCATCCTGAAATGTACAGCTACATACCATACCATACCAAACCATACCATACCATATCATATCATACCATATCATGCCATGCCATGCCATACCATATCGTACCGAACCGTACCGTACCACACCACACCACACCACACCATACCATATCATACCATACCAAACCATACCACACCACACCACACCACACCACACCACACCACACCACACCACACCACACCATACCATACAATATCATATCATATCATATCATATCATGCCATGCCATGCCATACCATATCGTACCGTACCGTACCATATATACCATACCACACCATATCCTACCGTACCGTACCGTACCATACCATACCGTACCATACCATACCGTACCATACCATACCATACCATATCATACCATATCATGCCTTGCCATACCATACCGTACTGTACCGTACCATAAGATACTGTACCATACCATACCATATTATCTAACCGTACCGTACCATACGATACAATACCATGCTTCAACACCAAACACGATCCCCGATAAAACTATCGGCGTTCTTTAATTTTAAGATATTTGTTTGCATTTTGTCATCTATGCCCATACTCACCCCCTCTCCGTCTCTCTCATTCTCTCTCTCTCTCTCTCTCTCACTCTTACTCTCTCTCTCTCTCTCTCTCTCTCT